ATCCTGATAGTCTCTAGGACTGGTTAGTTAGAAATTAGCTAAATCCGTTATTATTATTCTCTTGGGTTCCAAGTGGAACATAGCGCTTCAACAACACGTCTCCACTTTGCTCTATCTTATGCCGTTCACTTCAGCTGGGTCCTCAGTTGCCCATGATCTCGCATCTCCTCCTCTCACAACCGCCTCCATGCCATCCTCGCACCGACGACCCACTCATCTCTTCCCATCAGGATTCCACTAGAGCAATGACCTACATTGCACGCGATGTCATTCGACAGTCTCCTCAACGTATACCCGATCCACCACCATTTTCTCCTACATATTTGTTGAATGATAGGCTCTTGTCTGGTTTGTTCGCAGAGTTTCTTGTTAGTTACTCTACATGTCTGGATGGCCATTTGATCTTCAGTATGGAGCTGTCGAAGGTGGCGTTTGTTGATAAAAGTCTGCAGCCACCTGTCAGAACTCTTTTCGTGATGCACTGGCTAAGTTTCTGACCCGTATAGAAGAAGTGATTCACTGACATTACATTTGTGCTGAAAATCCGAATCTTGTTCTTTATGCTGACTGAATGGAGAATATTTCCAAACAGGTTTCAGGTTGATCAAGGCGTATCTTGCCTTTTCGATTCTGGCTGATTTTGACATCTTCATCCGATCCCAGTGACTATGGTTGAAACCATGCTTCTAGGTGAGATAATTGAAGGAAGTGACCTCCATCAAATCTCTCCAGCTGATGGTGATTGGTGCTGGTTGTTGCTACTGTTGGTGGTTGGTTGGTTACCTTCATCACCTCCTTCTTCTCTATGTTCACCTGGGGTCCTGTCTTTGCTGCTTCTTCATCCAGTTTTTTGGTTTTCACCTGCAAGTCTTCTAGTTTATGTGACACTAACCATAAATAATCCACGCTTGAAATCCACATCTTCTAGAGTCGTCTTCGTGGTGCAAAGTATCTCTGTCTTCCCCCCCCCCAGAGTTCAACGCAAAATCCAGTCCACCATAATTAAGAATATCATCGGTGATAATTAGCAGTTAGCCTGTCTTACTGCTGTATTCACTGAAAAGTCTTCGGTGAGGTTTCCATTGTGGATCACCTAACACGTGGCATTGTGATATATCCAGATGTTGAATGAAATTGACAAAGACTTGGACACTGTACGCCATAGTGTTGAATTAGTTTCGAAATTACTTCTCGGTAAACGGTGTCTGGTGAAGGCCTTTTTGAAGTCGATGAACAGGGGTGTCCAGCGTTGATTTTTCATGTGCTGATTCAATGAACTATATTCACTTTCTGAGTATGTGTATATGTGAGGGCTAACGGTATGTTGACATGGTTGGTTAAATTGAAGAAGTGGATGCAGCAGAATTCAAAGTCGACAAGTTCAATTTTGAAGTCATGAAGTCACGTACATCTCCAATCTTTTGAGTTGTTTATTTTTGTGTTTTTAAGGATAATAAACTGTAAAATTATGCTAATTAATTTAAATAGGAACAACATTCACTAAATGGCAATTACATTAACTCTGGAGAATTGCTAGCTTACAAGCTTTGGCTTAACATGAAATATTTCCTAAATAGAGGAGGTATACAAAATATTGATTTGCATGAGGAGGTGGAGATTAGGTGGAGATTATTACGAAAGCGCTAGGCAGTATCCATTCGCCATACTTCTAGACATCGAATAAAAATGGCGGTATTACGAAACAAAGCAGAAGTAGAAGAAAATGGGCCATCCCAACTATCTAAGTGAATATTGATACCATCAAAAGTAGACTAGATATCAAGTAAAAATAGCATGATGTTATGCACTACTGATTGATTTAAGTAGTTGCAAGCCACTCACATCAAACAGTAGTGTGTTTGTTAGCCAGATCGGAAAGATCTAAGTACCGGATGGCTGTTTCATTCGTTTGAGGCTAGTATGGGTCTCTTGAAAAAAAACTGTGACAAATACTCCACTCAAACTGTGTGTAACTTGCTGAGTTTTTTTTTCATTACTTTACGTTATGATGATTGTGAAACAGAGGTTCAAGATCTGAGCTTTGAAGTTTCGGTAGTAGTGATGTTTTCACAGGATGAGTTTTGCTAGTCTTAATAACCAACCTTCCTTCATTACCAGGCTTGGCTTCAGTATTATAGATGAGTTGGATATGTAAGGATTTGGGCAAGTTGTTTTTTCCCTGTAGATAAGTCTAAAGGAAGACTCTCTGTAGGAAAACCCACTGCCACATCTTCGTAACCACACCAGATAGTGTTCTTGCACTCTCTTGGGTGAAGCCTGCGTAGAACGACCGATACAACTAACTCCAAAAGACTAGCTGAATTGATAATTGTGTGTGTTCTTTGGGTCACTGGACAGTATGCCCCTTCTCAACAATGCTTCAGTGAATGTCCTTTTCAAAGATTATGAGACCCTTCTATGAAGAGTATCGGCAGTTAAGTCACCTTTGAATTCTTGATTACAGACATTGAATCATATTTTGATTAGGTTTTGACTGTATTTTCTCATCTATCAAATGCGGTGGAAATCCATTTTCCCTTAAAGTTTTCTTTCAAGATTTAACTATTCCTTCACAGTGTCAGGACTGCGTAATAGTGACAATTATAATAACATAAGTTAATTGGTAGATGGTGTCTCGCAGTGGAATCCAGTATGAGGATTTCATCCTGTTCGGGACTCGTCACCTGGATGTACCTGCATTACGCAGTGAGTCGTGATGTTCCCACCGAGGTTCAGTCTACGGGAAAATCTGAAATTGAATTAAATAATAATAATCTAAAACAATTAGTTCCCTTTATGAATTTAGATAAAGCAATACGAAGACGTAATTTGTCTGAATCGTGTAATGTATTTGCGCAACACATTTCGAACAGTCTGATCCAGCACACACGGATTTGTCATAGGAATATATATGAAATTAATAAAGAGGTAAGAGGTGAGAAAATAGACTACTTAGGTCAAGTTAAAAGGGCATACTGAAGGTCAAGATAACAATGAAGACCACTAAATTAAATAGCAGAAGTAATAGTGTGGTGAGAGCAGGCTGCTAGCCGATTGGTTGGCACTAATCTACGTTAAGGTCTAGGTCACTAATATGGGCCGTGAACAAGGCTGAGTCAACAACCAATCACAGCGAAGTTAACGTGGCAAAATATGATTCGCAGATAGAGAACTCTGTTTGTCAAGGAATCCCGAAACAACCAATCAGAAGCCTGCGTTTGTCTACCTAAACAACCAATCAGATGACTGCGCTTGTCTATAATAATGTTGTCTGAAATATGTATAAATACGTGTTGATTTTCATAATAAAACGATCTGTTGCCTGGCCCTTGTCTTCTGTTGTTACATTTGGTGTCGCTGCCTACCGACAAATGAAAAGCCTATACCCTGCAGTTTTTGATGGAGACATATGGATCTTCGGGCAGGACTTCAAGGCTTCTGCGCAGTTGAGTGGCGTTCAAGATCTGTCAGCGATGGAGCTGCTACTTGAGACGCTGCTGGGAGGTCGGGCGAAAGCAGCATATGAAGGTGTGGGCCGAAGTATGGACGAATGTTCGACAGGGTCAGGCAAACAGTTTCCAAAGTGGGAAGGACCATATATGGTCACTTCGAGATGGGGTTACGCAGACACAGTCGCAATGGCGAACAATGAGAGGCGCGTGAACGTCAGCGAGCTCCAGAAATGGATACAGCGAGACAAGCCAACGATGACGCCTGCACCAAGTAGATCAAGCCGACTTCAGTCGCACGTATTTGACGGGGGGACGAGTGTGGTGAGAGCAGGCTGCTAGCCGATTGGTTGGCACTAATCTACGTTAAGGTCTAGGTCACTAATATGGGCCGTGAACAAGGCTGAGTCAACAACCAATCACAGCGAAGTTAACGTGGCAAAATATGATTCGCAGATAGAGAACTCTGTTTGTCAAGGAATCCCGAAACAACCAATCAGAAGCCTGCGTTTGTCTACCTAAACAACCAATCAGATGACTGCGCTTGTCTATAATAATGTTGTCTGAAATATGTATAAATACGTGTTGATTTTCATAATAAAACGATCTGTTGCCTGGCCCTTGTCTTCTGTTGTTACAATAGTACATCTGCTATGGTATCAAAACAAATTCACCAAGGATGGTGGTTTAGTGTGATGACGAATTGTTTTTGATGAACACACAAAGGTGGTTTAAACTCCTTAATTGCTAGGGCTTCCATAAACGTCAGGATACGCCTCAAACACGTTCTATAGATACGTTTGAAAGATCTGTTAACGTCAATTTTATGTCCTGTCTGTATAATATGTTTCGCAATAGAAGAGCTAGGTCTCCTGCTCTCACCGTTAATAGGTTCTGAAGATTCCATTTGTTTCTGGAGCTACTTAGGAATATGCTCTGAAGACCTTATTTGCAGAGATCGATGAGTCCTCCCTATGTATGTGTGTCCACACGTACATTTAAATTGGTAAATACAGTGAGATGTGACATCACTTTTCACATCTTCGAAGGGCTTAGATAGATATAATGGCTTTACATTCTCTATTATTATGACATTAGCTGGATAAAAAGTCTTTTTAACAGCAGCGTTCAGTCTTTGCTTAGTTATCAAGCTGCTTTGATGCCCAATATAAGATAGCTTGATGTACACGTCTTTCTTAGGGGAGAGTTGGAGAGTGGGTCTTGTTATTCTGACTACCTTATTTGTGTCCTTTTACTTTATATATGTCCTTTTAACTTGACCTAAGTAGTCTATTTTCTCACCTCTTACCTCTTTATTAATTTCATATATATTCCTGTAACAAATCCATGTGTGCTGGATCAGACTGTTCGAAATGTGTTGCGCAAATACATCACAAGATGACTCAGACAAATTACGTCTTCTTATTGCTTTATCTAAATAATAATAATAATAATAATAATAATAATAATAATAATAATAATCGTTATTACTAACATATTTACAATATACTTAACACTTTTTTTCTTCTACTTTTTTTCCTCTCAATATAGTTATGTATCGCATAAAGAGAAGAATTTTATATACTTTCATTTAAAATTCAACGCTGTACTACTCTATCAAGCCGTACAACAACATCAATCGTCAGCAACAGTATCCTCATGAGGAGAGAATAAGGAAACTAAACACTGCTCAATGTTCAATTATTTTATTTAGAAGTACAGGCGAACAAATAAATGTGGTCTTTTAACAGATGAACAAAAGAACTGTGTAATACTCTATGTGTGCGCGCGTGTATTGATCTGTTTTTATCAGAACTTTTTCTCCAAATTTCTCATCAGTTCACATCAGTATTGGCTTCTTACGTCACTCCTCACTGTGTCATCTTTACATGTGTCTAGCTCCTAGCATAGATCGCCTTTTCATTCCTATCAAAACAGTCTATGTATAATGGATTTTAATCAGATAAGACGCACGTAGTATTACGCAGGCACAGATACAGACACACCCACACACATACATACATACATGTATACACGGCTACACTCGAAGAAGCATTACAATGTCTTTTTCCTTTCATATTAATATATTTGGTGATATATTACATCACTATACTGAATATGGCTTGTGTGACGGCTACAAGGCGAGTGAGTGAGAGGGATGGCGACGGAGACAGGTTCAGTGAGAGACAGTGAGTAGATGACGTCATCAAAAAATATGTTTAGAACACTTATCCCTGTTTGCTGTCGTCTTTTCTCTCTGTCATTCTCATTCTCTCCTTTCAGCATCACCACCACCACCAATAACACCTACCTTCTCATTCAGCTATTCACTGTCTTTCTGTGTGTTTGTCTGTATGTGTGTAAGTCGTTTTTTTCGTTGATGAAACAGTTTTTTATTTGTTGTTGTCGCTTTTCTTATTCTTCTTCTTCAATATTTTCTTATATTTTTGTCTTTTTTTGTATTTTATCGATCAGATTTCTTCAGTGTTTGAGAATAGCTCATATATACATACACATATCTGTTTAATATTTTGGTGAATATTACTGTTTAACATGTATAGAAATAATTTATTGCCTTCTGCTTGAGTCTATTGGATTTGGTACAGTTTTATAAATAATATGATAGAGAGTCGTCTAAGTTTGAAAGTCTCTACGAATGTATGATACATGTGTGTGTATTAGCCCTATGATGAAAATTTATTCGTTCATCGATTATCAATGAATACAATTACTGGTAGCTCTTTTCTAAGTAAAATCTGAGAGAATATTCATTTGACGCGTACACCAGAGTGATAGATTTGGGTTCGAGTCCCAGTGGGAACAGCATCACTCATAAAAGATTACAGGTACATCCAGTTGGCGAGTTCCGAATAGGCTAAAGTGCACATCTGGGTCCTAAGTGCTAGTCACCATCCGACAGAACAACAAATGGATTACTGTTGTTACTTTAGTTTCAAATTCCCCTGTGGCTGTTTGCTTGACTAAGACATCCAAAAATGGGATTTGGTTCTCGGATTCCTTTTCTCTTGTGAATTTGATGTCGTTGTGTAACAGCAGATTGTTTATTAAGGAAATCAACACATGTTTATACATTTTCATGTACATTATCATAGATTATTTAAGCAAACAAACACAGTCTTCTGATTGGTCGTTTCTCATAGAAAGTTAATCTTGCATCTCTTTGTTACTGTTTCTTGAATGTCAGATCATCAATATGCTAACTGCACCCGCCTACGCAAAGTGTGCTGTCAGACTTTGTTCTTGTTTTCACATGACTAGTATTTGGAACATAAACAGTGACGTAAATTACTGTCTACCAATTTGGTTAGCAGCCATCTCTCACCACAGTTGAAGACCGTTGTTTATTAAGTTGTGAGTTTTATCTAACTCGTTTCTTTTGATTATTACAAATGTGTCGTCGACGTAGCGTATCCAAATCTTGGGTTTTATCTTTAGTAGGATTATGTTTTCGAGTCTTTGCACCACTGCTTCTGCAATCAAACCTGATAGTGGCGATCCCATAGGTGTTCCTTTGACTTCTTCATAGATTTGGTCGTTGAATTGGAAGTATGTTGTTAGGCATAGGCTCATGCATTCCATCCAGCTTGTGTGTTGCATTTTTGATTGTTTTGGGAGGTGTCCGTCGTTGCTGAGTAACTGCTCCATGGTCTCTTTTGCTAGTTTTTGTCCGATTGAGGTATATAATGCTGTGACGTCGAAGGATATCATTATTTCTTGTTCATCTATTTGGATGCCTCTGATTTTCTCTAGGAAATGGATAGCAGAGTTGACGGAGTGATCATAAGATTCCATTAGGTGTTTTAATTTTCTGTATAATTCTTTGGACAAATTATATGTTGGAGTTCCTGGGAGTAATACAATTAGTCGTAATGGGGTATTTGCCTTGTGTATTTTGGGTCTGCCGTAGAATCGGAGTAGGAATGGTCCATTGGATTTCATTCGACGTTGGTCCTGTTTTGTGATCTGTCCAGTTTTGGTGAGCTTGGATGCGGTTGTCCAATGTTTGTATGGGATTTGTTGGGAGTTGTTAATATACATCCTCGTCTTTGAGTAGATCTTCAGCTTTCTTGGTGTAGTCTTCTCTGCCCATGACTACTGGACAGGGAAGAATACAACAAGGTGGTTACATAATACATCATACAGGGGAACTAAGAGAAGTATTGAATTGAATTTTTGATTTTCCCGTCGATTGATTGGACCGAAGTGTTCGGTCTCAGGTTAACATGTCGGCTTCTTGTGCAGGTGCTTCGACGATGTCTGGGGATTTGATTTCTATACAATTGGTGGATGGTGGCTAGCAGTGGAATCCAGGATGCGCATTTCGTCCTAATTGGGACTCGTCAGCTGGATGTACCTGCATTTCTCAGTGAGTGATGATGTTCCCACCGAGGCTCGAACCCAGTGCCCATAGTTTCAAACGCCAAAGCGTTATCCACTAGACCACTTGGGCCACGAGAGCCACCTCTTGTGGATAACGCTTTGGCGTTTGAAACTATGGGCACTGGGTTCGAGCCTCGGTGGGAACATCATCACTCACTGAGAAATGCAGGTACATCCAGCTGACGAGTCCCAATTAGGACGAAATGCGCATCCTGGATTCCACTGCTAGCCACCATCCACCAATTGTATAGAAATAAGAGAAGACGTTTTGAACAACAAAGAAGAGAATTTTAAAAGCTTAAGCAAAAATTCTTAATAAGTTAGGAATAAAACAGGTTTTCAAAGCAGCACACTCAATTACGTAGAAATAAATTTTGTCATTTAAACGATCCTGTGGGGCTTGTAACACACAAAATTGTAAGGTCAAGGTAGTAAGCTGAGGTCAGTTATAGATTAGCACAGCACATTGACTTGGCAAACTCTAGACCGATAGGCTTTAATAAGATAAGAAATTTAGAAAAAAAGCTCAGCTATAGCACTACACACATTTGTACAGGATCACACAATAAGATGGAGCAAAGTAGCGGTCTTAAAATGTAACTCAACAGAGTGGAGAGAGGGAAAGATTGATAACTGAAATTTTATTTATCGAATGACTTGAGAATATGTGTAACAGGAATGATTCAACACCTGTTCCGAGTGAGGGAAGACTTCTACCGCTCTTACGATAAATGAAAAGGAAGAACACTATATGGGTGAAGTTTCGAAGTTATGTAGCTGCAATGGATGATATATGATTACGAACAATAAATTATGTTTCTAATGTCACCCAGTAAATAATAATACTGATTCGATATGTGATATATCCAATATATACACATAAATATGGAATTAAATACTGTCAAAGTGTCTAAGTTTTACACATATATTTAGTAGGAACAACACTCAATCTGATTGTCGGAGGAAACGTCTCTCGTTAGCTAAGGTCGATCTCTCGAAGTTTACAGAATGTAGAATAAGTTCTCCAAAGTATTTGACTCCCATCATAATGAGACATTCGACAACCTGAAACCGGTTTGGAAATCTTCTCCAGTCAGTCAGCATAAAGAACAAGATTTGAATGTTCAACTCAAATGTCAATTCAGTCATTTCTTCTATACGAGTCAGCAACTTTGACTGCGTCTCATGGAAAGGATTTCCAATAAGCTACAGACTTTTATCAACAGCTGCCACCTCCACTAGCTCCATACTGAAGATCAAATGGCCAGTCAGACAGGAAGAATAACTAACGAGAAACTCTGAGAACAAACCAGACAAGAGCCGATCACTCAACAACTATGTAGGAGAAAATGGTGATAGATCGAGTATACGTTGAGGAGACTGTCGAATGACATCGCGCACAATGCACGTCATTGCTCTAGTGGAATCCCAATGAGAAGATACGGGTGGGTCATTGGTGCGAGGATGACATGGAGGCGATTGCGAGAGGAAGAGATGCGAGATCATGGGCAATTGTGTACCCAGCTGAAGATGACGGCGGAAGATAGGACAAAGTGGAGACGTGTTGTTGAAGCCCTATGTTCCAATCGGTACTCAAGGGAATAATAACAACAATGCTGAGAAACACATCCATTGCCTGTGTTCCAAATTAGCAATTAGGTGGTTGGAGGCAATTGGTAGGAAGCCTGGTACATAGGTTTTGTGCTAGTTGGCACTCATCGGCAAGGCGTATCTTTTGTCTTGAAGGAACTCATATCCCTTATTAGATTCGAACTGGCGTCACCCAGGATTTGTTCTAACAAGGATTATGAAAAGTTGGTATAATTATATAAGTAAATTTTCAGATAGACGTAATAGATTAGTGCTAAGGGAAACAGTTAGTCAGATTATGTAGTACTCCAAATTAAGTCTCAGTAACCGTGCATTAAGACTTAAGAACAAGAAGACGACTGAAGATTCCCAGCCGGTGCACATTTTGGCTTCTCTTAGTCGGTTATAAGCCGGACAAAGATAGGGGAGGTTGGGCATGAAGCTAGCAACTCTATGCTGTTAGAAACACCACTGCTACTGAAAATTCAAAGCTCAAGCTTGAATCTCTATCACCCACTCAGAACGCGAAGGAATAAAAAAGGACTGAAGAAAAGTTGTCCAAATGAGGACACAAAGTATATAAGAGGTAGAGGCGATGTAACGGTAGAAGACAAGAGATCCGGTAACAGAAAGTTGCTTTGGAATTGCGTATTTCTGAAAATCATCATTTGC